GCTTACAGCTTTATTACTTGGCGGGACCTACAATAAAGATGGCGAAAAGAGGCTAAATACACTTTATGTTTACCCTTTTTTATATATAACTTATTAGATAAAATTGCAGACGTAAATTGCGGATCTTTGTATATAACCGAATAATTATTAAGTTAAATTAAAAACAAAAGTACAATTAAGAGCAATTGTAAAATAAATAAATTATAATCATCTCTTGAAAAGTGTGATTTTCTTCATGAAATACTTTTCCTCCTCGGTTAGATTTACTTTTTATTAAAGAAGTAAATATCTATTCAAATTATTTGAATAATTGTTGTGCGTTGAAATGCGAGTTGTCGAAAAATACTTCTACCTCTTACTAATTTGAAATATAACAAATAGAGGATTCAGTAATAAAAAAAGTAGAAATAATTATTTATACTTTTTTTATTACTGAATTCTCTATTTGTTAAATTTTAAAAACATCCATATATTTTAAATAAGGTTCCTAATTTAAAAACCATACAATGACCTGTACATTTCACGCCTTACATTTACTGTACTACCCAGATATTTATACATATATATGTAAGTGCACTAAACGTTGTGAATACGCTTAAGTAAGTTGAAAGACTTACAATGCATTCACAAGAGCTATTACTGAACTTGAAGCTCGAACTATCAAAACAGAACTTTCAACTAGGTTCAGTTCTAAATGCATTCGGTTGCTTTGGTATTTATTTAAATAATATATTAAAATTGTTCGTGATTTAGACTAAACTATTAAAATTTTGGGAAGAAATGGGAAATCGGTGAAAGTTTCATAGAGCTCATTGGGTGATTATTGCATTTAAATTAGTATTTATTACAGCTAGAAGAATTGAGGTTTAATCATTACAAGTTTTATTTTGTAGGCTGGGTATATTCTTTTAGGGTGATGGTGTATTTTATTTCGTTAAATCGATATCTTTTGGCTTTGATGATCTGATTTATTAGTACCTTCCTGTGTATTCTAAAGGCCTTCCTGTGTATTCCGAAAGTGCACAAATTACGATAAAAAGGTAAATAAAGATAAAGGAATATCATGCCACAGGTAAGTGTATGTTTTGTTCCAAAATGAATTAATGGATATGTGTACGGTTATTGTATTTTATCTTTCTTAAAATATCATTGACCTCAGGAAGATTTGTGAAAAATTTCATGCCGCAGCGGTTTCAGCTGTGCGTTGATTGATTCTTCTTTTATTCAAATCAAACTCTTCAAAGGCATTTTGTACTCAATCAATAAACTGCCAATGCGTTGGCAAAGATGCGTCGATTGCATGGGTGATTACTTCGAATAACAGAAATAAAAAAGTTTGAAAAAATAAGTACTTTCACTTATTGCATACAAAACGGCAATTTCATAGGTAAAGACCTATTAGATTATAAGTCATGTATATATTCATCAAAACGATATTTCGATTATTTTAAGTCTGTATTTCTGAAAAATTGTTAAAGCAACCAGTATATATTTGCCATAAAAACATTATAAACTTTGACATAAATTATAAAATTTCTTATGTAAACGTGTGTTTTAGTCACCATCACATTTAAAAAATAAAATATTCTATTTGAATGCTAAAGTATTAGTAACTTATAAGTATTAGTAAATTTTTGTAACATCAATCAACTGTATTTTATTTATTATATTTTAATTAAGAGGTATAGATACAGACAACAGATCAAGACATACAAAATGTACCCTTAGTAAAAAACATTGAGCGAACCTGAAGTCCAATTACAACTGTACACACAAACAATGCTTTGTTTTGCAATGTGGGTTAAGGTTGGATTTTTATGTAAATTTGTGCAGAAAAACATTTAAACAAAATATAGAGAAAAAAAAAGGATCTTAAATTAAAAAAAAATATGGAATAGGTAAAACAAAGTCATTACTCGTTAACAAATTACATCTCAATACAGAATAAAAAAAACATTTAAACGATAATAATAACCACAGACTATTCTAAAAAGAGTTCATTGATTCAGTCTCTTAACGGGATTGCACTGGAATAAGGCTGGAAAGCATTTTTTAGAATATAAAGAATAATAAAAGATGATTGAATCTGTTGAAGTCCGTTCCAAACTAACTTCTCGTTCCAGACCAACTAAATCGTGTGGGAGTTCTAGACAGCGCTATTGAAACGGATGTGCAAACAAGATCCGATAATTAGTTTTGAACGCTTGGTAAAACAATCTACTGTACTCCTAGCACTTGGGTATGGAAATAGGACGTTAGCGTAAGTTTTAAATAATGTCCACAACAGATATTTCCAGTACAGCGTTTCGTATCGTCTCGGCCTTTTGGTCTAACAAACCAAATAAATGTATGTAACTTACATTATTACTACTTTTCTGTTCATATATTTCATTGAAAATGATAAAGAACGCAAAAGGAATTCATTTGGCCGGGCTACAATATATATGGTACTTCCCGGCCATAAACAAGTGCTTTTTAACAAGATATATTTGTGGTACATTTAATATATTCGTTTGTACTGCAAGAACAATAAAATACGCTTTTGACATACAATTATCATCTTTTTGGCATCATATATAGAGCCATACTTTGGTACATATGGTTCTAATGGATCGGAGTGATATCGTGGCCTAACAGAAAACCAGTGCTAAGCAATTCTTTATTTGCTTTTTACCAGAGGCCCAACCTATAATTTTAAACAATCAAAGTTCGCAGAATCTTAGAATATAATATAACATTTATGAAAAGAAATATACCTAACCAACAATAAAAAAATGTGATAGAGTAAAAAGTAACCTACAAAATTTGCAATTCAACGCAGTTGCAAATGCAACGACAGTCACACACAGTCAGACCATTGATCTAATACATCGTTCTTGTTACATATATATATATATATATATATATATATATGTATATATAGTGGGTTAACTCTAACTATGGCAGTCCTCCACATAGGATGTACTTGTGATGCGAATAGATTAAGAAAACGTTAGCATTTTATGAAATATTCTTTTTCCGCACGTACGTGTATAATATTTGAAAACATTATAATTTAGCGTGGCGCATATCAAAACATCATTACCGCACAGCGTCCTTATCTCCTTGAAACTCACAACTAACTTAACCGAACTTGCACTGAATACTACGTTAAACTAACTTTAAGTGCCTATCTCGTTGGGTGGACTGTGTTCGATAACTTTATGATTTATGGCAATAAGTTTATATAAAAATGAGAATCGGAGAATTTCGATGACTTTATAGGTAAACTTTGTAGACTTTAATAAGAAAAATGATAGGATTTTGAACTCGTTTTCTCTGTTGGCAATTATAATGATCGTTTGTCACACCGTTGATACCAAGAATAAACTGACCTTTCGGATTTTATTTAAGGTAAGGGAAAATGAGTTAAGCCTGATTTGATGTAAATTTTTTTAGGTCAACCCATGACATTATATAATTTTAATTACCTATATTTAGAAATATAATTTTAATAACACACCAAGCGTAACGAAGGCGGTTCAATTTGTTACTTTTTACCATAAAAAGTACGTAGAAAACCAACATCTTAAAGTAATACTAAAAGAGAAAAGTTTTTACAAAGTAAAATTAATGTGTTAAGGAAAAAATACACTATCTACACTATAAATATTACAAACATATGTACTGTTCTAATTTATAGGACCTCAACATCCTCGATTCAGATTTTAATTATTATTATACATTCGTTAATTAATACTATGTCAGTCATGGATTTTATAGTTATACCTACACAGCCAGATACTTCGTTATTTTCTCAATAAATGTATCATAACCATTTATATCATCTTCACAGTTTTATCATCAAACTATCGACAGAATACGTTTCTTTGACAAACTAGTAAGACCTTAAATAATATCTGCAAGTCACATGACCTTGATATTTTTAACACTAAAATAGCTACAGTACGTTGGGTGTTCAGTCGAGATTTGTTTCTACCTTTTTTTTGTAATCAAATGATAACATATGTGTATCTAATGCGATACATATATACATTGGCCGCACGAAATTGTGTTAAATAGTGCGTATCTGTGAAGACCTTTAATTGGCTAAATGTTACAACTAGTACTATTGTTACTATTTGATTGTTAAAGCTGTTGATTTTCCTTCACATAAATAAATTTTAACTAAAGATCTTACTGTAATTTGCTCATGTCGTGGGAGATGCATGGCAATGGGTCGACAGGAGTAATACCAAGGCTTCATAAAAAACCGGTTTTAAGCAATTCTTGACTGACTGAGGTTACTAGAGCTCATACATCCCCTCGCCCAGGTCCTTGCGCGCACTCAAAAAATCTTGGCATTTAAATCATTGTACTGAAATTAAGGACTCGGTGGTGCACTGGTAGCGTATGCGATTGCTGTGCTGAGGTCTCGGGTTCGATTTCGATCGATATTTGTTTCGGAGTTTTAGTGTTTTCTATGTAAAATATGTATGTATTTACAAAAAAAAAGTACACAAGTATTCTATCAGTCAACCTAGTTTTCATAGTACAAGCTATGCTTAACTTGAAACTAGATGGCGTTCTGTATCAGATGTCCGAAAATATTATTATTATTTTATATTTTAACATTTAGGAAGAAAGAGCTACCATATATGATATACATTAAGATATATGTAATACATATAAAAATATGATAACATCAAAAAAGAACGAGATCATCGCCAAATTATTTTTCTGCTAAGTCGACAATAAAATATTATTTTGTTGGATTCATTGTTCATTGGGTTTAGTTTTGCGTCACTGAATTTATTTCTTATCGAATAAACAATGAAAAAAACTACATATTGTAAATTTAAATGTTAAGAGCTGTGATCTGGCATATTATTTAGTACTTTAGCATTTAGGGATATTTAAGATAAGTTTTATTTTTGGCATTTAATTATGTTTAAAAACATATTCAATTTAAAAATAAATATTTTTAAAAGATAGATTAGACATAAAGGTAATTACCACTATTAGTTATAGCAGTCGCACGTATCGGGAAGAATGCAAACTCCCCGGTGATAGCCCATTTTTCGACAATAGGCTACACAATAACTCATTACGCATTTTTTTAAATTATCATATCCGCCAATTTCATTTAAATAACTATCGTCCGGTAGCATTGCAGCATCTGCCGCTACTTCCATTTCTGCTGCTGCTGGAATCATTGTTGCGTTTTTCTTATGATCTTCTGTAATGATATAAATAATAGTGCTTCAGTTCCAGTCAATGCTCATTTGGTCTAGGAGATAAAAGTGGCTTTTTACGTTACATAATTCCCTAATAATTAAAAAAAAAAAATCGGAGAAAATCAATCACACAGGTCAAATGAATATAATATATCTCTTAATAAACGAATATTATTAACTAAATAGTGCACATTTTTAATCTTTGGTATGATTTACAGTAATAACGTGCGGGAAAACCAAAGACGATGATAAAATGTTTTATTTCTATAAGCAGGGGTAATATATACTACTAAACATATAAATTAAAAAAATATAAAGTACACCTAATATATTTTGTACTGCAGTTTTTTTTATAATTTCAAACATTTTCATCTCATTTCATAATATTTCATATCCGAAACATTTCGATGATGTGTTTTTAATACGAATTAGGTACAATAACAGAATCAATAAAAAATTTAATCAAAAAAATAATCATCAGTTACCTCTGCTCCCGAAGTACAGGTTAAATACGATATGCCTGATCGAAATGACTTGACCTTGCGCTATCAACACCACACATAACATGAAAATACATATTAGTTGCATTTTTTAGTAATTTATAAAAACTAAGACGATTAAATTTGTTAAAATCCTTCTTGCAGGACAGTAACTCTCGTAATGAACATCTATTTTATTACAACCACTGATCCTATTTTTCTTGCTATATTGTTTTGTAAGAGGTATTTATACAGGATTGTCATGTAGTTAGGTACCAACTGTGTTAATACTATACAAATATAGACCATGTGTCATAAGTTTTAAAGCCTATATTCGTTTCTATTGTTATTATGAGACGCGATATTTGTGGTTACGTTGTTTACTGAGATACTTAGGGAAAACCTTTATACGCAGTGATTTATACATGAACATATTTTACTTACGTACTTTAGGTATTATTGACAAAAGCGGATTTAAATTACTTAAGAAAAACCAAAGTAAAAATGTAGTATTACTTAACCTGGGTCTCGTAGCCCGGTACCAATGTTTAATATATTATACTGCTTTTATATTTTATAAATTATACTACTTTTATTTATTATAATATGACTGCACGGATGGCGTAGTGGTTTAAGCGGTCGCCACGCCGCTTCCTTTTACGCCGAGTGTTGTGGGTTCAAACCCCACATGGGACAACACTTTGTGTGATCCACAAATTGGTGTTCTGAGTCTGGCTGTACTTTGTGTCCGTTTCATGTATGTTTGTAAAGTCCCCCGTGACACAGGATTTATTTCTAGTGCGGGAGTTGTCTTTAAAAAAAAAAAAAATTACTTTGCAGTGGTGTTGCCAAACTATCGATAGTTTTCATCCTAAAAAAGTCACACTATCAATTAGCCCAACGATGGTATCGACAGTAACGATAGTATTGCACACATTCTATAGTCAATACGAGTAGTATTGCCTCGTTCTGATAGTCTTAGCTTTTTGATTGGTTGGCTATCGATAGACTATCATCGAGAGTCAACTATCGATCGAAACATTTACAGATGGAGTAGTAAGTAAGACACGTGTTCTACACATTTTGACTACTTGCGTGGCCCGACCCGCCCGGCAACGGAGCATTTGATCGATTCGTCGTGCATTTTGGTTTCGATACTAATCAGTGTAATTATTTGTATGCATGCATAAATATATCTATTTGCATTGGTCTGGATGTCTCTGTATCTTTTAATAATGATATTTTTTTATACGTGATCTTTAAGCCATCGTACGGGCCCTACCTAGTTTGGGTCTAGTAAGTAATATGTTCTTGTGTGGAGACCGCGTCTCGGCAAACGTAGTGTAGGACGCCCACAGGCCAGGTGGAGTGACGATTTGCGCAAGATGGCTGGCAGGAGCTGGATGCGAGAAGCCCAAAATCGATCTAAGTGGCGTGCAATGGGAGAGGCCTATGTCCAGCAGTGGACTGCGATAGGCTGATGATGATGATGAAGTAATAAGTTCTATAAATGTAAACCATAACATAAAAAGCAGTTTGTGATGATAAAATTTTTCTACTGAAGTAAGAAATGATGAATTCTGCTTTGTTTAAAACCGCAAGTTTGGTACACATATTAATTCACCCTTTCTAATAATTCTTTAAATAATAATTTTTTAAACATATAACAAGTGGATAACTTTTTTTTTCGAACAGGTACTTATTAACTTTTATACATTCCTTACATCTTTTGAAAAACGAAGACACAGGGTCATTCGAAAGGCTTACCTCCTACCAGGACATTTACAGTTTTTTTTTTTGTGTTAAAATCGGTGTATCGTAACAGCTAGAGAGAAAACGCCGTAAAACTATTTCTGATAATTAGAAAAGTTTGTTGGAAATTGCATAGGTATTTTAAATAAGTTAGCAAGAAACTTCGAGATTTTCGCCTTAAGGTGTAAATGGAAATATATATTTATTCAAAAGGATTAAGTATGATAGTTAACACAAAATGCATGTAAGTGAGATGGGATATGCGTAAGTCACAGAGTCCTTTTGTAACACAAAAACCATCCAAAATATACAAGTATTTTTGATGTGTAACATTGCTTGATGTACCGCAATTTGCAAGAGCAATTTCAGTGAAAAAGTACGGAAATGTAGCACGCGCTTCCCTATTTATCTGCCATACATTTCCGTACCTTTTGATTTTACTAATGAGCGCGCTCGTTTTTTTTAAACTTCTTAAAAATCAAAAGAATAAAAAGGGCAGAATACTATCCTTAAAGTCCTTTGATTTTCAGAAGGGTATTCTGTTCTGAAGAATAGTGTCTGTTGTATTAATTTCTTTAAGTTATGGTGTTACAAGTACTTATTATATTTTATTAACTTATTATATTTTGTCTCTTGTCATTTCATTTGATTTAACAATAATAACATTAACCACAGTCTCGGAAACGTCATGTACCTACAAAGTTTTTAATTATTGAGAAGCGAGTTATAATCTTCTACCAGTCTTTGGCTAGTTGTAGCTTATACGAAAAATTATTCCAATTATCTTAAGTTTGTTATTTCCTTTATCTAAATAACAGACTTAAGATAGTTGGACTAATGTTTATTTATTTTTTATTATTAATAATAAATAAAAATAAAAGATAATAACACAGTTAAATATTAGTTTAATTTTGTTAATATTGATTTTCTCTGGATATCTTTTCTAATCTTTTTGAATACTTACTTGTAAACGCGACTTCAATTCCGTAGAATTTCCCATCCTTCGGGAACATATTCCATATTCTATTGATATTATGAAATCATATATCTACATGATAGGTAGGTATATATATATATATATTTAGAGTAAGCACTTTTCACGTTTTGCATGATCAGTAGTTATTACTCAGATAAGCTAATGTGTGTGTAGCGTATGTAAGAATGTGTTAATCGCCACGTCTGTATCCCTAGCAACAAGTACAGAAATAGCACAATGATTTTTTGTAAAGTTAAAGCAAAACAAACAAAGTCACTTTCGCAATTTCACAAGGATCTTCACGCCGGGTGTTTTTAAACAAAAACAGTTGCTATATAAACAGTAATAAAGTTCTTACTGAAGAAATAGCGCCAATGTTTTAAGTCCTTATCGTCCTTCGATATCGATACTGTTCGGGCTGTCTTAGAGTAATTGGTTACATTAAAAATAATGGGTATAAACGATGGTATTGTTATGGGTTCATTTGATTTCATTAATACTATTAAAACCCTCACCTAAAGAGAATAATTAATCGGTAACAATAACCCTTGATTCTTCTCCTCAATACAACATTTTAATATTCCTTTTGCATTTACAATGTTTTCTTTTTTCTCTTAGATTTTGAGAATTTTCTGTTGTCTGTAAGTTAAGTAAAATGATGGTAACGTTACTTGCTGTCCGTTAATTAAATTTTCTTAGCATAAGCTATATGGCGTATATTATATATAAAGGATAAATTTTTAAAACATATAGATACGTACTCGTAGTATGTTAGCAACTAGGACTTATAAAATGTATCCAGTTAAGATTTAGTTGCAGCTAAAAATGTGACACATTTTTTCCATTCATTAATTACTTCATTTCTATTATATTTTTGTGAAAAATAATTCAAAAATTAATTTAAATTTAAATTTGGTTACCTTATTAAGTTAAGTATATTCAAGTTTATTTATGAAATTCATATATATATTCACATATAAATAATCGGCACGCAACATGTGGAGGCATTAAATGCATTAAATATGAGGCATGAGGCATATATGAGGCATTAAATATGTCATAATCTTAGCTTGTTATCTTTGTCTTTTCATCCCCAATAGGGGATGCTCCTGTTTGTAAACATTTAATTAATTTATCGAAAATTTTAAATAAGGGTCTTCTTCTTTTACTTTACCTAAAAAGACAAAGAGAACAAGCTAAGATTATGACATATTAAGCAATAATTTTATTATGTGTAAACAACAACTTGAAAACAAGCCAATAGTTCGTCATTTCCTTTTTATAAGTTCACTATCCTATTTCATACAAAATCCTATTTTGAACCATCTGTAATGTCACAAATATATGTAATCCTAGCATGATTTATCTTATCGAATCAAAGATGCTGACAGGGGATCAAAGGTTCCTGAATAAAAAAGAGTTATCTCAAGAGGTATGGCGATATTTATCCTCGAAGTCAAACGTGTAAGAAGTGTTTATAGTTTATATTGCAGTGATAAACCTTAATTGAATTTGTACAGGTAAACTAAAATTAATAACTAATCTAACGTAGGCGTTGCTTTTGGATATATTTTTTTTTTTTTTTTTACCAACACTAATATATATGACGGACGACTGGTATCTGGGTTGTTTTTAAAGAGAGTGACGTAAGCAAAGCTGACATCATTTTTAACATTATGGTCGTTTTCCTTTGTAAAAGCTGATGTAAATAATGACAACAACAACAGTAAATACAATTAAAGATGTATACCAAGTTCTCATCAACAGTCGTACATACGAGTAGATTCGTACAGTAGTAAATAAAGACAACAGTAAATACAGTTAAAGATGTATTCCAAGTTCTTATCAACATTCGTACATAGATCCGTACAGTAGTAAATAAAGACAACAGTAAATACAGTTAAAGATGTATTCCAAGGTCTTACCAACAGTTGTACATAGATCCGTACAGTATTAAATAAAGAAAACAGTAAATACAGTTAAAGATGTATTCCAAGGTCTTACCAATAGTTGTACACAGATCCGTACAGTAGTAAATAAAGACAACAGTAAATACAATTAAAGATGTATACCAAGTTCTCATCAACAGTCGTACATAGATCCGTACAATAGTAAAGAAAGACTACAGTAAATACAATGAAAGATGTATTAAAGATATTATTTTATTTTATTTTGTGTGATATATGGTTGTTGGCCTCAGATGGCCTCTACAACCTTGCACGGGTTTTCGGTGAGCGCTGAAGGCTCTCAACCGGTCTTAATTAAGTAACATTGCCCAAGGGCCTGTAGGGTACAAGTTTCGGCTTGGGGCGTTACTGGTAAACTAGGGCGACCAAGACCCATATCTGCGCTCCCAAGTCACCAGTTCTTATACTAAACGT